TCCCCTGATTCACTGGAGTATAAGCAGGAGGAAGTACAGCAAGATTCTATTATAGCCAATCTCAATACAAATAGCGATAGCTCTCCTATGGAGTTGATTTTCTGGTCTGGTCTATTCTGTGGGGCTGACAATAGAATATTGCCAGATCCAGGCAGCCCTAATACCCACAGCCACTTTGTCTTAGTAGAACTGAATCAGAGCCAGTGCCTGCTCCAAACACTAGGACAGAACCTTGACAGCCTCACATGGCCAGCCTGGGGTCAACAGATATAACTGATGATATTGAACCCCAAACCTGTGGATGACCTCACCCAGTGGGGACCAAGCAGAGAAACTTAATAACTGGAGATCAGACAGGTAAATAAGAAAAATGCAGAGCTAGTATGACTAGAAAGGAGTGTAATTTGGGCAATATTAAGCATCTGAGGGATACTCAGCTAAAAAAGAGGCCAAAGAAAAAGAGCAAGTAGAAAGCAGATGACATAAAAGCATGCAGTGGTAGCAAAAAAGAGAATGAGTTCTGAGCTTGCAGAGGCTATTTGAGGCAACAGATGATAAAGACAAATTGAGGACCTAAGAAAACACTGGATGATAGAAGCAATTATACTGAAAAAGTGAATGGGGTTCCTCTTTGAAGCCTAGTATACATTCTGTACTTTAGTATACTGTGTCTAGTATAGGAGAAGCTCAATTTAAGACATTTAGTCATTCCAATTAGGTTACCAGCAGAGCAAAAGCAAGTGGGTGGATGAAGAGCAAACAGCAGCCCTGGACCTTTCTTCCGTCTGCTAACAAATGATCTTGGCCTGGGCTATAGAAGGATACATCCCACTTCTCTTTGCATAAGTCCCACAATGGTTTCCTTGAGCTTATTATAGAAGTACTTGACATGCATTTGTTTTTCCTAGGTAGGTTTTCTGCACTGCTCTATTTCTTTCCTTAAAACCATCCTCAAATGTCTCTGGATTATGCCACATTTTCAATTCTTGATGCTGACTGCCTGCAGCAAGAGGCAGTAAGCAGGAGGCACACTTTGCCCCAGCCTTCTCTGCTGAGGAGCATCACTTACTAAAGAGCATCGCTCCCTTGATGCTGAGGGCTTTGGGTAGGAGCAGGCTGGCCATGGTGGCAGGTATGTCTCTGAAAGGAAAGGCTGTAACAGCTTATCACTCCAGTTGGGGGCTTTGCTGATATAGAAGGGAATTTTTATTTTGTAACAACACTTTTTACACCAAGGCAGGGGTTCTGTGATTTGCAAGGCTGCTTTTTATTCCTCATTCTTATTTACAGATACTCAGCATAGATAACATATATTACACAGTACATATTCATGTAGTATACTGTTTATTCTACTGTAAATGCTTATGCTGTAGTAACATGTATTCACTATATACAACCCACTGAAATAATGTGAATTCCTAGACAGTGATATAAATATACCCTGGGCATTTGGCTGGAAGGTTCAAATACAATAATCTTCCTAAAAGCATTCTTTCATATAACACACGAGAAACTGTTGCCATTACCTAAGGCAGCAATGCAGAACTTGGCGCTTTCTAGATGCCTGGGACCTGTGGGGATACATATGTGGAGTGGGCATTTTCCCACAACAGACATGTATCATTCAGAATTTTTCTACGGGAATTCTGAAACTTGTAACCTCAAATATTGCAGTATTTACTCAATTTACTAACTTTTTAATTGGGATTCCAAAGGAAGATGGCACCCGAATCCCAACTGCAAAGAGTCTGCTTGAATGTACTGCAAGTATTTTTCTTCCCTGTTCTCCCTCTTTCCTCATAACCTGCAAGTGGAAGTAGGCTCCTTACCCAGTGATGGTTGGCAGCAGCATTCTCTTCTTCTAGAACCTCCCTTTTTCTTTTTCTTGTCTCTCTCATTCCTTTTTACTGTGTTTGAAGTTTGCTACAATTTACCTTATCTTATGCAGTGTACTACTGACACCAGAGAGGTCTGGCAGGGAATCTGGTCCTCTTTATCAACAGTTGATTTTTTTTTTTTTTTAGTAGTAGCTGAAACAGTCTGCCCTCAGATCTTGTCAGGTATAATCTCGGCTTTGTACTCAGTTTCCTGGGCAAGTTAGTTATCCTTTAGACTCACTAGCTTGTCAGATCCACAAGGCAGCCATAATACTTTATGAAAATTCTGTATGTGATCAAGTGGGGAAGACTTATCTACAACACACCATCTTTTCCTGGCAGAGGCCGAACCTATTAGGACATTACGTTTGTGCTTAATGATTCAGTTTATGTCTTATTTGAATTTGGTCAGTTTTGAAAATATTCTGCTTCCACATAATTCTATTCAATTAGAAAACCCTCTAGTACATACAAACTCTAGTTTATAAAGAGAACAAGATAAAATTATTAGCACTGAAGCACAATGACCAATACAGGTAGTCCTCGCTTAATGACCCTAACTGGGACTGGAAACGCCACTGCTAAGCGAAGTGGTTGCTAAGTGGGAAATCATGTGACCATGACTGTGCTTTCTAACTGGAAAAAGACAAGACTAGTCAGTTTCACACCTTCAGCTTTGTTTGCCTCTTAACCACTCCCCTGCCCTTTGGAATGCTGGAGTGCCTGCTTACTGTTTCCAAAAGCAACGTGATTGTGCCACAGTGCAGGGCTGGGAGTTGTGGGTGCACTACACAAACAGCTTAGTCTCTTGAAATCCACTTCTCTCCAATCTCTCCACTTGGGGGGCAGGGAAGAGGAAAAAAGCAAGCAATCTCTGAGACAATCTCTCTTTTGCCTGACCCATTCCTACTGCTAGCACTATTGCATTATTTTCAATGAGTAGAAGAGCAAAGAGTTTACTTTCTTGCAATCCCTTTCTCTGCAATCTCTCTGCTCTGCAAGGGGACGAAAAAGAAAAAAAAAAAACAGGTCAGTGTGGAAGAACAGGTTGCTTTCTTCCCCTCCTATTTGAGCCTTCTCCCCAGTGGTAGCACGGCAGAGCTGCCAATAAATCTGCAATCTTGAAACAGGTGTAGGTGGAGATGAGTGTTCTGGAAGCTCTGCAGCCACCTGTCCAGAGTCCAGTGCTTTTGTGGCTCTTTTGAGTCTGGGTCAATCTAATTAGGTATAGTTTAAAAAAAGAACCTGTGATAGTCAGGCAGAAGACAATGCATACTGAGTGTAACGGCGATCATGTGACTGAAGAACATTGCAAAGGTCGTAAATGGTTGTAAATGAGCTGTAAAGTTATTTTTTTCAGCACTGTCGTAACTTCAAACAGTCACTGAACGAATGGCTGGTAAGTGAGGACTACCTGTAATCTTTCTGTACTTTAAAACAACATAGGAATGTTAAATATTTCACCAAGTATCCTTGCATAGATTTTTTTATCTTTGTATCTTTTCATTCATATACTTCGTTTCAGTGTTTGCTTTGCTCCAATAACAGTCCATTGGCTGATAGTCTAGTTGCATGGATACAAATCAAGCAGGTTCAGCTCTAAGAGGCATTAAACAGAGATGGTTGCAGTATTAAACCATCCAAACAGCTTCATCAGTTCTTGTCTCTTTCACAGCCTAATGTGTGGAGGCCATTCAATGCTATATAGAGAATGATTGGGGAAAAACTGGATTTTTTCATGGTTGCAGCTTTGATAGAAGTCTCAGTCATTTCCAGATTAATGTTTGATAAAGCAAATAACTTCTGCGCTATCCGAAACCTTTCTGGGTGAGCAAGTGGAGCTAGTATAGGATCTGCAAGTGTCATTGTGCCATCCTCTGAGGTCATATTAGGCTGTTCAGAGAGAGAAAGGCATTGATTAAAGGCATTTCCACAATAGTGCAATTTTTCCTTCAATAATGAAGGCAAACAGTTATGTGTAAAGCCTACTGATCTAGGAATGGAATGTTTTGGGAAACTCTGGAATTTTGTTCCTTTTTCAAATCACATCAATTTGGCCACCGGAGGCTATCCAGCAGTTTTCCAGAAATTAATCCTCTGAGATTCTGGAGTAGAAGTTTTTGCACATTCTTAATAATTCAACAAGTTAGAGGGTCAATGTGATGTAATGCTCAGAGTATGCTACACTAGATTGGGGAGGCCCAAGTCCAAATACCCATTCTTTGGACAACCTAATCACCTAAATGTTCACAAGTTTTTTTGCGAGAATCAAAAGAGGGAGAGTTTACTGGAGGAAATGCTGGATATAAATGAAATGGAAAAATACAAATAATAAATCTGTTATCCCAGCCAAAGCTCTGTGCAGCAGCCTCTTCAATAGTAACACCATCTGTGAAACACACTTTCCCCAAAAGCAATTCATAAGCTACAACTGTTAGCAACCTCTCAGGGTGGGGTGGGGACATGTGGAGTGTCACTAATGAACTCAGAGCTGTCAATTAGTTTAGCTCTGTTTCCTTTTCTTATCTTAGGCTTTAAATGTCTTTGGCTTATTGTTTCATATTCCTTTTCAGTACCCTACATAACCCAATTTATTGTGAAAAGGAACAACTCATGTCTATTGTTAAGTATGTGTGCATTTGCATGTTTGAGGGCTGGACAAATCAGTCCCGATTCAGTACTGATTTGAGATTTGAAGAGGAAGGACTCAATCTGAGAACAAACAGATTCAAATGAACCTGCTTTGTGATTCCATTTAGGGGAAAATGTTTATAGGTTATCTAAATGCCTGTAGTTGATTCACTGTTTGGCAGAATGGCATGAAATGGAATGTAGAACTCCTAGAGAACAGTAATCCTGCCAAGGTTCAGTCAGATATCTCTAAGGGTTTCATATATAACGTTATTTTAGGTTTGGACACCCAAAAGAATTCTTGTAGGCACAGAGTTTAATATACCATTGGCTACTTAGGTCATTGTCAGAGAGACCATCATGCCATTGCACCTCACATCTCAGCACTCCATTGTCTCTTATCTGTAGCAATTCCTGAAGCAATAGAAAATCCACTGTATCTGTGTAGCACTTTGAAACTCTACAAAGTGCTTTGAAGCAGGTCATTACTTCAACTGGTAAATCTGCTTCAACGGGGTAATTCTATCAAACTTTCACCAAAGTGAAGCATCACTTCTGGAATGGGCAGGAGTCTGAAATTTCTATTTTAGAGTCATTCTGATGATGAGTGTTTATTATGCTGTATTAAAATATATTTATGAAAGGCAGGATATATTTATTTAAATAAATGAATTAATCAATACTTTTTTTAAAAAACTCAATTCATAACAGCACAAGAGCGTAAATATAGCAAAACCACCCCTGAACAATAAAGCATTAAAATGAGTAAGAAAAAACAGAAATAATCAATCATACTTCCCAAAAGATCACACAAAACAACTATCTATATAGAAACGCTGCTGAACAAATTCATGTAAACAGTCACCATGTAAGATGTCCTCACTCGCAATCGAAACTAGTTCTTATCTAAGCAGATCAGCCTATCAGAACCATCTCTCTTTTCCCCCCCTATTGTTTTCCTATGCATCCCATGAAGGGAGTGGTTGATAAGTAACAACAGGAGCTGTCCTTTTGGACCACACTTGCAGGAAAAAAATTACAAGTATTTGGGAACAAAAGATCTCAATCTATTTCTGATAAGAGAATGGAGCTACTGTAGCCACAAGATAAACCAGAGTGGAGGTATCAATTTCTGAGAAGTCTGTTTTGAGGAACATATTTTTTGTTTAAAATGAGCAGATTGCAGAGTCTAATGAATTTGGGCAGGTGAGAATAGCAATAAAAGGACTTACCAAGAAACACAGAGTAGGGACAAGCTGGAGGTCACAGCAGGCTAGCAGCAGGACTAGTGAATAACTTGACAGCTCTGACGGAAACAAAAGGTAAACAAAAACTTTCAAAAGTATAAAAGAATAATCTCTGCTCAGCACTGAATCACAGACCTTACTGAATAAACTCAAGAAAGTAGGGCAAGGGACTGGGGAAGTTCTCAAAGGCCATTTAGAATCAACTGCTAACACAGAACAACTCCTGCTGTGTCTAAAAAACCTTGTCTTGAGAATCTGTACTGCAATCCTGAAAGGAAAATTCCAAGCTGTAGTTTTGTGAACCATGCAACTGAATCTTGCTCTCAAATGACTACTGTTCAGACAATCTACCATACATACTTGCATTTAAAAGCTTTGACAGACAAAGTCTGGCTATTCCAAAATTGCATTCCCAAGCACTGATGCAAGAGATGGTTCTAGTTAGAAATGAAAACACTGAGAGGAGACAACTTCAACATGTATTGAAGAAATATTAAAATCGGAGAGCTAAGACAAAGGAAGAGGAAATTAAAAAACGTATCTCAAAAATAAAGATTTCACATCTTGATTAAGAGGATGGATGGCATCACTGATAAAGAATGCAGAATGCATGAACATATGCCATGTACAAGAGCCTGGATGTATTGAATTGGAGAAGGCAGTTCAAGCTCAGCATCATACATATATGATAGATGAAGTGAAAGGCTCGCTGGAGATATGACTAGAACTGGGTCTGTATGCTGTACAGACACTAGTGAAAAACACAGGATATGATGAAATCTCCAAAAACAACATGTAGTAAAGTAACAGAGGACCAAAAACATGGCCTTCAGATAAAGAAAAATCAGAAAAAGGATCTCTCTCCCCTAATACTGAATGAGCTTCTCCCTGTAGGAGCATATACTGGATGAGCAATAAGATAGGTAAGGGGGAAAAAAAGGGACAGAAACTTAACGCAAGATAGGATCAAGACAGAAAAGAGTAATCAACCATATCAAAGGGAAAAGTATCATGAAAGTTAAGAACTGGGGGGAAAAATCCTTTTGAATTCAGCAACAAAAAAAATCTGAGATTATAAAAAATGCAGTTTCATTTCAGAGAATGGGTCCAATCTAGCCTGTCACATCTATAACAAGATCAATACTTTTGACACAGAGAAAGAGTTTTTCCCCCAAAAAAACCAATGACATCAAAGACTGATTAGAGCAATGATTCACAAACAGTGGTATCATGACTGGGGCTCAGTAGTAGTCTAGGTAGAATCTAAGGTAAATCACTGCAAGTGACAAATACAATAACAATCTTTGCAAATACATAAATGTCATTCTTGGAAAAAGTGCGGGTTTCTATAATGTTGAAACTTAATTCTTTGATAAGGGTGATTAATCCTAAGACTCTAGACAAAAGATCCAAACATATAGTCCCTACTTTATCACTGAACAAGGAGTCAGTGATCTGAACAAAGAGTGAGGAAATGAAGACAATCTTAGTATGATATCAAAAGACAGAAAAGAAATGCTAAGCATCTGTAAAACTGAGGTGAGTCACAGAGATATTTAGAAAAATAGTAGTGTAAAAAAAAATTAATTTTGCTTAATAACAACTTTTCTGCTTAGAGACAGTTTCAAGTGGCAATTAATGATTTGAGGCTAGCTCATCTGGGACTATTGAAAATAATATTTAATTAACAAATTCGTATTTCTAGTCAGCAACCTTTTTCTTTGTCAGTTCAATTACTTTCTAAATTCTTACTTTAAGACAGCACTTATTTTAAGGCAGATTCCAAAACACTGTAATTTATACTACTGACATGAAAGCTTGAACCTTTCCTGTTTTTTCTCTTAGTAGCAGTGAATAAATTTGGCATACAAGGGGAATAGTAATCACCATGTGAATCTAAATGAAAAAGCCAGCATTCAGAGGCAGTTGAGGTTAAGTAATTCCTATGTAGAAAGCTAGGGAGATGGCCTTGAAGCAAATATTCAGAAACCATTATGTAAATAATGTAAAGAGGACAGAAGCATTCCTAAAATCCTGTGGAGATATTAGGAAAAGACTCAGGATGATTCCTCCCTGACTCACTGGGAGGGGAGAAGCAGTCAGACTTATAAGATTTTGTTTATTATAGCCTCTCTCAGTATACTTCTGGTCTTCCTGTGGATGTGTTTCCTGATCTGGTCTACCTTGAAGGGTTGACATTCCAGCATCATGCATCTAGTTCTGCATTCCTTTATACTTGCACTGAGGATTTCCTCTAGATTCACAAACTGAATTTACAAAATGTTTTCCCTCTGCACCCATGATACGATCAATCTGAAACAGCAAATCTTATTTGCTCTGAACAAAACTTAATTTTAATAAGAAAACTGCTTATTTATTTATTCATTTATTCTTCTGTACCTGCCACAGCACTGAGGAGGAGATGAACAGCTAAGAAAAGCTCCTTATTGTGAATCAATGGTCTGCTCTGTAAATGGACACCTACAAGCTGCAGAAACTCCTCTAAACATGGTTCCTCTGGTGACTTTAATTCCTCCATTACTAGGATTCCTGGACTGTCCTCAGAACATATATTGTCCATCTGCAAAACAAAACAAAACAAAAAGGGAACAGACACAGGGGCTGATTTAGTCATACTCAGAATAAAGTTAATCAAACTGAGTTTGACTTCTGATTGCATTGACATATCTATGATGTTTCCTTGACAACAATATGGAAATGGTTTGCCACTGCTGTTTTTTTAAAACTTCCATGTAGCTTACAGCCCTGGGAATTATTGATGATTTCCTATCCAAGTCTTAAGCAGGTCTAACTCTGCTTAGCTTTCTTTGAGATCGTCAAGGTTGGGTAGGTGATGCCACCTGCTGTGATCTTGAAAACAATGATGCGTAAATCAGGCAAGACCAATATAAGTCCTGTTGATTTCATATTATGTGAAAACCTAATTCCTTTGAAGAGTCTACAGTGCTAGAAAATGTGGAAGGAAAGAAAAAAATAGGATGACTAGCAGTAAGGTGGATGCATTCAGTTACAGCAGTAATGGGAGCACTGTTAGAAGATCTGAAGGATCAGGTTGAAGATAGATCATCCTGAAAAAGATCCATCAATGTAATCACCAAGAATCAACGCTGACTCAATGGTAATAATCATAATTTTGCTGTAAATATGTAATTAGAAACATGTAGGTTATTGGATCAATCAAAACTACTTTTCTTTCTTTATAAAGAACAAGCTTTAAAAATAAGAAGAGGGAAATTGTGTGTATGATTAGGAAATAAAAATTACCACATTTTCTAATTGCATCACTGTTTCTTCATGAAGCAAAAAGTGACACACCATTCGGTATAAAGCTCTCTGCTTCTCTTCTGATAGGTTCATAAAAGGTTGGAACTGGGTCTTTAACTGGAGGACATCTAAAAAACATATTAAGCAGGCATTTTTAATCATTAGAGAGACTCAGATTGGAGAGGTTCAAAAGCTAATCCTAAGAATTCTGAATGTAACATTCACTAATTTCATGTAGCAGATTGTGTGTGTGTGTGTTGGAAGTATAATGCATCATATGTATTGGCCTTTTTATGAGGGATTTTTACAAAATTGGCCTTTATGCTGACACAGATTTCAAAAATTCATCCTATAATTTCATGAAAGAGGAAATTTGTATGTACAGAGTACTAGCAGAGAAAACCAGAATTCAAATGAAATACAATTCTGTGATAGTCTGGATGTGCTCAAGCGCTAGGTTTCTGCATCATGCAAAGACATAATGTGGCTCATTTGGTTAGCATGTTACATGAAGTTTAGTCAGTAAACCATTGTTAAGGCAGTAAACCATTGTTAACAGACCATGATTTAGCACAGTGGGTGATACAGTTCAGTACTGAGCCATTTATACAAAAGTATGATAAATGGATAAACAATTCATTTAAAAAGCAGAACCCTACAATGAGAAAGGTAAAAATGAAGCTTCAGATCTGGTTCAATTGCAAAGATGCCATTGCACTGCTTGAATTGCTAGAGTTGACTAACACAGCGAAGAAGTTGCAAACTACCCCTCCCACATAACCAGTTCTTAAATCACAACTTTCTTTTATAATTAGATATACAATTAATTGTACATTGAGTTTTCACTATCTGTAAGTGGGGTCTCTAACATGATCCTAATTTGTAGTTTTTCTATTTTACTATCAGATTAAGCTGTTGCTAAGTAAACCTCTCCTGAAACAGTTAATCCAGAAACTGCACTTCCATGCAGGCACTATAAACATTATTGATTTGGAACAGTTTGGCAGGGACAAAATATAACCAAAATAGTTCATAATTATGTTTATAGCAAGAGAAAGTATACCTTCCATACTGAACAAAAGCGCCACATTCTGCAATATGTAAAATCACCATAGAGAGGTCTATAATATGTCATGGAAAAGCAAAGTCATCTTGAGAAAATATGCACAAAGTAAAAGCTCCAGAAATAAGCAATGTGTTTTCAAAGTACATAGCAAACATATTTTCATGCACAGAGGTTAAAGAAGTCATATAATGTCATAGATTAAAGGAGTCATATAAAGATAAAACTAAAGCCAGTTTTATTGGTTTTTTGTTTAGTACAAAATCCAACAAATGCTTTGGTATTTAGCACCTTGCTCTGGCTATTTCACTATTCACACCACCTAAGTGCTAAAAATGGCTTCATAAAAATTATCTTGTTTTAGGATGAAGAATGTATCTTTCTCTTCAGAAAGATGAGTTTTTTTTATAGACTAGGATGTTGATATCAGTTCTGAACTGGCCTGAGCCCTCCAACTGAGCAAATGGATAGAGATTTCTAACAGGGTAGGAATTACTACTTCCCATTCATCCACATGTATCTTCCATTTTTTTTCACTGCTGTTACACATAACAAAATTAGTTCTCTTTGATTCTGCAGGGCACAGAATAAGGTTCATTCATAAGTCAAATATGCAGTATCAATATATAACTATTGCATTAGTTATGCATGGCATATACCTATAAGTTAACTCCACACATAATTTGTTTTTTAAAAGGGAGATAAAATATTCTTATGTCATTGATCATCCTGTAGCAAGTGTGAAAAACAGCAACGTTTTAAGACTATTGGTATTTTTATTATCCATCAGCTCAAAGAGATGTAAAAGCATAATAAGGGGGACAACAAAGGCACTCTTACAGATAGCATGGGGAGGAATGGGGAGGGAGCTCAGGGTGGAGGTTGCTAAAGCAATACCAAAACTTCCATGACTTGTAAATGTTGTAGCTCTTAGTGTTTACAGCTGGTGATACAGTTTCAGGAGGAATTAACTGCAACTATTTTTGATGCAATGCTCAAATCTGCCTTAACCCCCCCTCCCATTCTAGAACCATATTTCTGACATTATTTGAAAACACAAATTGAAAATATTTTTGGTTTAAGTTAGCATAATGAACAGGACATCACTCTATACATCTGAACAGGTTCCTAATCCTACCTTTGCTTAGAATGCTTAGTGAAGCACCAGTTGGAATAGGGCTTTCAGGCCCAGGCAATTTCTCATTATCCACAGCATCCAAGGGATGAGGGAAGCAAGCATCTTCGAAGGCCAAAGAACGGTAAGATGGCCCTTCTATGGCCCCCCTTTCAAAACCACCTTGTTGATCATGAAGGAGGCAGAATTCTACAAAAAGAATGGTTTGGTTATCTTATCAAGCACTTTGAAACCAAAAATACTACTCAGCTAACTTTTGATTTATAGCCCCGACCCGATAATACTGAGAACAACAAATAAATTATCTCTCGGTAGTCTTATTAGCACTAAGCCATTTTGTTAAATCATGGGAGAGAGCTTGCCCATTCACAAAATGTTTATCCCGGTGGGAGTAACAAATCGGAAATCACCAATTTCACAAGAGAAAAACAGATGATGTTCCCTGTGATTTTCTTTAACAATCAAGATGTTTTCACTGGTACATATGCTGTTCTAGAGTCTCCACTGGGGAAAGGTCCATCACACCTCTGGTAAATTAGTTCCATAGCATTAAGTTGGCTGGACTTGCAATTTTATTTATTTATACATACATGCATACATATAATATATACTGTAAATATAACATTATACAACAGTGACTCTGGGTGGCATACAAAGCATTTATTTATGATAGTGTAAAATTAATTAATTTAAAATTTTGATGTTTGTAACTTTCTCAATGATCAAACAATGAAAAGAAAGGTTTCTGTCCTTTCTTACACAACGTCCTCAAGATTCTTGCAAAGCTGTAATTAAATGCACAAAGATAAAGAATAGAGAACGGTTTGTTACTTCAGAACACATGCAAGACAGATATAGTAAAGAAATGTTAACTCATCAGTGTACCATTGGAAACTCCTGACCAGAATGTAAATACAAGTGTTCTACCTATGCATCCATTCTCACTGAATCAAGGGCATTCTAAGAGAGAAGCAAACAGGGCAAAAGCAACAACAACAACAAAAATCTAGAAAAAGGATGTAATTGCACATAAACACACTCTGTGCTACAGAACAGGAATGAAGCCAGCATATTAAAACCCCTTAAGACATCAAGACAACCTATACAATGTGAGAGGAAAAATGTAACATAAATGAAAGCTACTCTCCAAGAGAAATGAAGCTCAGATGGGGTGGTCTTTGTATGCTAATAAATCAGTTTTGTCTCAAGACACTCATATCTAATATTGGTTTGCTAATATTTCTGCCTACATGTCTGCATCCTCCTTCTGAATGCTGCATCAATGAAGTGGGAGCTAAGGCAGCTTTAGGAGAAGCAATATACTGCATTTAAATCTGTAACTTTCATCTGGGCCTCCCCCTCCAAGTCTTTCCTTCCAGAAATATTAATGCAGATCTTTATTTAAAACAAAAACAAAAACTAGCATGTGGGCAGGTTTTAGTGCCTTTGTGACATCACCAAACACTAAACCACCCCCTCTCCCCACCCCTCTCCTTAACCTGGTCATATTATTATAACTCTGTGATATTAACTGGCAAGAACACACTGTGTTTTTGAGCGTTTATGTCTAAAGCATTCAGAGAATAACATAACCTGCATAACTGATAAACAAGGGGGAGATACATTCCAAAGGCACACTGAAAAGTAAGTCAAGGCAGACATTTGAAAAATATGTGAATGCTCAAGTGAACAAAAGAGTTTCATTATGATTTTTGAGGAAATACTTTACTGCTCAGACTGTAACAGGAACATTTGAAATGTATGCCAAGAATATTATACTAGTATAAAAGAGACAATGCTACAGGTATATATCAAGATTTAGAGATAGCATTAATTCTGATATCAGATTCGGATCTTTCTTGAAATCCAGTTGGAAAATTAACATCTGAATAAGGAAAAAAACCTTATTAGAGTGCAACAATGATAATTCCTTGTAATTTGCTGCCTTATAACGTCACTGAGTGTCACTAGAACTCTTAGCACATTGTAAATTTTAGGCACAATTTCTTGGATGTTCACCGAAGAAATGGATGAGAATTTCTAGAACTTCTATAGATGAGAACATTCCACTATAGATGCTGTGAACAGGTTGATCATTTCAGTACAGAGGAACATTTTCAAGACATTTACTGCATGTCACAAAAGACAAAAAGCAGCCTCATTCCATATGGAGAAGTTGGGGAGCCTTCATCACACATAGGAGCAGCAGACTAGTTTAGGAGATGCAGCAGACTAGTTTAGGAGATGCAAAAAAGGCTATGAAGCACACAGAGATGTATTCTACAAGAAAAAGAATGGCCAAGGGTCTCTGGTGGCCCAGAGGTATCATTTATAAACTCCTCCCTAACCTGAAGTGCCTATCTGACTCTGCCTAAAGTAGGGTTAGTCTTGCAGAGCAGAGACATTTATTATTTGTAAGGTTTCAAAGACAAGACAGCCAAATATTAAAACCCAGCAATACAGAAATGAAAGAAGAAACAGTAATACTATAAAGGAGGAAAGAGATTAATGAACTGTAATCATCATTATGTTCAAATAAAGCATTCCCATATGGTACAAGCATAGTTTTGGAACTTTTAATATACATATTTTCACTTTTTCATTTTAGATCAATGCAGCCTGTACTAAATACCATCATATGGCATCCATATTTTAAACATTTCATGTGCAGAGATTAGGTCTTAGTATCTACTCTTAAGTTACACTAAGTGAGTGGAAGTTGATAGCGTAAGACAGGCCTTCTCTTTCTGCATATAGTAGAATCCATAATTTGCAACCAAATAAGATGCTTGAAGGCTTTGGTTTAACCTGCACTGACATCTTCTCATGTATTATACTTGGCTTCAGACTGTGTCACACTGATTCTAAATATCTGTAAGCCTCCTCTTCAAATGAGCACCAACTGTGTCCTGATGCAAAGTATGTATAAACTTGATGAACTCAAAATAAGATATTAAAAAAGTATTTTAGAGGACATTTATTGATGATCTCATTCTAATAAAAACCCATTACTCATCAGGATGAGCATGCTCTGTAATCCTGCCCTGAGGAAAAGGAGAGGGAGAACGGGCAGATTACTTACCAAATTGACCGTCACGCCTTATGTACAGCTCTATTACACCATAAGCAATTGCTGTTGGAGCAGGGATCTCCAGTACCACATTAGAATTCTTGATCATATTCCCATTTTCACTCACTGATACCTAGGAAGAGATTTAATCGCTGGCTAATTTGTGCAAATTAATCCCAAAATGCAATAATTTACACACCAAAGGATGTCAAGGAGTCATTTTGTAGAGTTCAAAAATGACTTTTCAATCACTTTTAAGTGAGTTAAAGCCAAATAATGAAACAGAAACAGAAAACACATAGACCTGAGAAATTTGAGCTATCATCTCTCAGCCCAATGCCCCTCATAGGATAGCCATGAGGATAAAATATGTGGCATGGGGGGAGGGTGTGTGTGGAGAGAGGTACAGCACCATGAGTCAAAGAGAGGTGGAATACATGTACAGTAAATAAATGAATACATAAATAAATTAGCATTTTTTGTTTTTGTAGGGTTTTTTTAAAAAAACTTAAAACTAGACATATCTCAAATGTATTTTCTCAAGTTTGGCTTTGCTAATAAGTGGGTTTTTAATTCACAGAAGACAGATCTACTACAAGTGTACTACAAAGAATTCTCCTTAATACAAATAGATCTTCTACCCTCAGAGAAAATACATTTGTGGTGACTTTCAGTTGGGGTGACCATCTCCATAATTAACCTCTTGTGAGCTTCTCTACTACTGAAAGAATTGGAGCAAAGGATTCAATGATCCTTTAGCCTCATCCAGCAATTTCTTTGTAACTTTTATTTGACTGACTAGCAAAGCTTCTCGAAATGGTTCTGTGTAAGTGCTTCATACTTCGATCTGAGTATTTTCACCTTACAAAAATGGTTCATATTTTGGGCCATCTTAACATTTAACAGCAAACACCATTTAACAGCAAACAGTCCTCAAATTGCATAGAACATGCAATTTTGAACAGTAGTGTTAATATTTAAACTTAATGCAGACAGCTTTATTTGTGCCTGAGAGGTGTACTTCTTTTTCTAAAACTTTTTAGGCTTCAAAGGCCACAGGGATGCGGTCAATGATGCAATACGTGACTGGAGTGGACAGGGATGAAATTTCAGCCTTTTCAGAAGGAGGGATTTAAAGGGCACAAAGGCTAAATACATCTTGCTGTGGGGGGGGGGGGATATGGAAAAATGCAGTTGAAAATTAGCAGTTTGCTAGCAAATTTTAAACATTCATGGAATGCTATAATAGTTCATCAACATTCTTCCTTCTGCGTTCATACCTTTATAATTTTTGTACTTATTCCCACCATACCAGCCAGTTTTTCCTCTTTTTGAATGTGTTCAGATATTAAACATTTCTGAGTTGTCATTATTTTTTCCGTAAGGATACAAAGAACATCATGCTTTCTTTGGAGCATTTGTTGCAACAACGAAGTCTGTAGATTTATTGACCTAAAGAAGGAGAATTAAATACATTAAAAACTACTATAACAAAAACTCACTTTTAATAACTGGACATAGCATTGTTTTTCCATAAGAAGCTGATAAACAATGGAAAATGCTACTATACCAGTCAGAAATAACAGAAAACATGTTATCTATGTAATGATGTTAGATCATTGCATTTGGGTACTAGCAGCATATACAAAAACATACTGTCACACTGATAGTACTGCATTTATGACTCAGTTATAAACTAACATCAGACTTTTCAGTGCTCTTATCAGCCATCTCCCCAAATGCTTCATATTTGTCTCCCCCACGTATCTACATCCTTTTCAAAACTGATAGAGTATATTTATCTATCATTGCATTTATATTCATTCTTGAGAGGTCAGTGTGGCATATATGGGAGTACCTGTGATGGAATGTATCCACAAAGGGGAGGATGATGTGGTGGATTGCAGCAGAGAGCAAGGCTATCAGGAAGGAAGGGGTGCACTCCAGGAAGGGAGACAAGAGACAACACAGTTTGGAAGTGGAGCATGGGAAGCATGAGAAGTTCAGGATAGCTACTCCCTAGAATCTCACAGGGTATATCCACTAGTTGCAGTAGTATAGATTTAGTCCGGCAAGATTCTGTCTATACGGTATAAATAAAGGAACTGAACTCAACTGGACTGTTTCACATTGTTCTTGGGCTGGGCCTGACAATACCCTAATTATCCTACAATGACAACCCTATGAGGTAGCTTGGACTGAAAATGACTGGGGCAAAATAAGGTCAATAGTTGAATATGGTTATGAACATGGGTCTACCCAACTACCTTAGCTATACAAATAGTCCCCAGTTTAAGAATGAGTTCCATTCCCAAGGTCTGTCCTTAAATCATGTATGTATGTATGCATGTAAGCTGGAACAGTATCATTGTATAATATTGTATAAGTAGTATTATGCAATTAACTTGAACCATTGTGTATTTAACCCAAATCATTGTGTATTTAACTCAAATTTTGCTACAATAGGCTCTGTTCTTAATTATGGGTCATCTGTAAACTGGGTGTTCTTAACCTGGGGATTACCTGTAATTCAAACTAAAGTTAGCTACCAGTAGCATTTCTAAACTCCCCAGCAAATTTGTGGATGGATAATTTTTAATACTTTCTCTTCTCAGGGGCAAGGCTCCCCTTAGGATAACAACAGCATCACTACTGAAAAAGTCCAGTGGGAGTGTTAGCAAAATTTGAGAGTTTCTGACTCTCCCCAATTAGGATTCAGTCCAGCAGAAGAT